GCGCCGCGCTGATGTCCGCAGGTCGAGATGTGGGCCGTGTCCAACATAGAAAATCAAATTCCCCAAAAGAACAACCCAGAGGGTCAAGCTGTGGGATTGCCATAAGCACGGTTGGCAACGAACCAGCCACTCATCTCTTTGCCGGACTGGCTTGGCTTGGGAAATTGTGCCATCCGGATCAAAGATATTTAAGGGAATGTTCAGGTTACTTGTTTGAAGGTGTCAAGGCTACATATGGGCATGGATTTGAACATTTCAACTAGAGACCCTTTGGTGGACATCATGTAGGGATTCAGTCCACAACCACTTTTAAGGTGGTTCGGCGGTATATTAAGATGACATGCAGCTTGATGTTCTGTTGTTGTGAGAGTCAATCAGGTAGCATGCCAACAAATAGGTACAGTTAGCAGGTTGGCACAACTCGGAAGATAGGGAACCTCCGAACCACCTTAAAAGTGGTTGGTGGACTGAATCCCCCTAAATGATGTCCACCAAAGGGTCTCTAGCTGAACTGTTTAAATCCATGCCCATAATGATATTGGGGTGTGCAAACTGATTGTTCCTCACTGGCCGCTGGCCGCTGGCTACTCCAATTCGTCATACATCTGACCAGGCGGATCTAACAGAAGCGGATCGGTACGGATCTCTGTGGGACAGCCTTGATCAATGGTCAGTTGGTTTCCTACTCGTTGCACAGTTATTTCCGCATTATCAAAAAAGACCAACCTCCCTCGGATTGGGAGTCGACATACTCATGGGGATCTATGTCCACCAAGCATGTTGGATGCTGCTCCAAACATTACACTCCAACAATGGATCCCCCTAAAACAAATGTCCCCCCCCCCCGCCGCTCCAAATCAACTAGAATAGAATTGGGCAGTATTCCTGGAACCAAATTTGAGCTTCAATTCCATCATTTAGTGTTGCTAGAGCTGCTTCGACCCTCCTTTGCTACCTTTGCCGGCTTCAATCATTTGTTTTCCACTGTTCCTACATGTTAATTTCTGTTTGATGCTTCCTACGTACCTACTCGCTTCCCGGGGGGGGTGTCAGTGATCTTACTTTGGCGGGTGATTCATTGTTTCGAGGCGCTGGCTCAGGATCATCGATATGTCTTTTTCGCTGGTCAAACAACAACAAACGAAGTAAACCCAAAAGGGCCCTCAAGAATGAACGGTGAGTTGGGAGTCCCTCAAAGTGGTGGACCCCCTTTAGTTGAGCCAAAAGGATCCCACCCATTTTAGGGGATTAAGCCTTGCAATGCCCACATGTTGCCCAAAGCCGCGCCAAGTCTTTCTGGCGACACGCGAAAGCGGACAGCTCAAAGCGCGGCGCTGCCCTCAGGAGTGTCGCAGAGACAGCAGGCCTGTGGACCGCTCTCTCGAGGATAAAAGTGCCTAAACAGGGTTCCTTATACTTCCCAATTAAACTCCACAGAAAGGAGTTGCCACCAAAAAAGGGAAATCAAAATCAGGCAACCCTGCTAAATCATTCACATGGGTTCGCCGGGGGTTCTACTTCTGCGGCTTTAACCTCAGTTTTCTCAGTTGCCCCCTATCGGACCCAGAAATCTCAGGTGCCTTTATTGGGCCATGGAGCAAGAGGAAAACCGCTCAGATCCGGATGGGAAGACACCCTGCGAAACAACCAGAGCTTCTGCTTAATTCGGGGTCAACATTTGTTTTTTTTCATCGGATTCCAAACGGGTGTCCATGAGTGGTGTTTCTGGACTGTCACCTTTTTGGGGTTGGACCGTTCCAGCCTGGAGATTCATTCTCCGGCCTTTTCCTAGGCGTTTTAGTTTCCTGGTAGTTTTAGGCGTGTTGGGCGTTCTAAGTGGTTTCTAGGAGTCTTGCGCGACCCCCGAGCCCAAAAAGCGTCTTTTTCTGATTTGCGGGCGTTTGCGGGGTTTTGCGGGCGTTTGCGGGCTTTTTGCGGGCGTTTTGCGGGTAATTCTGGGCGGGGAAAACGTGAAACCGTACCAATTCTGAGATCTCACAAAATATAGGAGCTTTAGTAGTTTTGGGCGACTTCGCGAAAAAAACATCGATACTTACGAAAAGCAAGTCAAAGCCGAGAACTACCAGGAAATTCATGGAGAATGAATCTCCAGGAGTGGGTAAACGAAAAGTTTGAGAACTTTGGCCAACTCGATCGGAAGTTAGGGAAAGGGACCGGCAGGACCTTCGTGAAATTGGGGGTCAGCGTCCGGCTCTGGGAATTTCTTTGGTGAAGTGTCCGGCACATAGGTGGACTTTCGGACAGATCGATGGCCCGTCTAAATCAGTGGAACCAATCGCTTTTTCACCGAAGGAACCGAGCAAAACGGCACCTGTGGCCCAGAATCCATCGATCCGCCGGTTTAGCAATCTCATGCGACCCGGAGGCTGAAACCAGGAATCGAATTGCTGTCACCCACTCAGATGCCCAGTGGCCATGGGAAAAAGAACGGGCATCTATGTTTGGTTGCTTGGGTTTCCATTTCACCCACTAAAAGTCAGTCAGGGGCTGGGTGTCCGAGCCGTTTCCCTTTTGGAGCCTCCTTGCGGCAGTTTTCGTGGAAGTGTCCACCAGATTGATCAGGGTAGGGTGTTTTTAGCGCTTGTTTTGGTGTTTCTGTGGTCAGGAGTGCTTTTCGGGATGGTTTGGGTGTTTGGGGGTCTGCCGAGTGTTTTGGGTGTCTGTTCTTGGATTGATCAACTTTTGAATTGTCGAAATCCAGTGACCCCTGTTGGAAAACGGGTTGGTTCCGCTTGGGCAATCGCTCCCCGGTTTTCTGGGAAGGGTTCTGAATGGCAAGTATATCAGGTTACGCGATTTCGGAGCCAAGCTCGCCGATCCGTTCACTAGCTTATAGGGAATCCACCAATGAAGATGCCTTTTGGGGGCCCCTTTACGGCCATATGGAGCAGGCTTTGCGACAAAGGAAAGGACCGGAAAAAGGGCACTGGGCCCAGTTGCCCAGTGGCGCCCCTTTTCTTTTGTTTTCTCTCTCTCTCTCTCTTTTTGGGGAAGGGTTCCCCTTTAAACTCAACCCACTAAAACCACTAAACAAGTCTAAAACAAATGGACATCCAAGCACTAACCCAACCAAAAAGATCTAAAACGCCAAGTTGAACCGGATGGCTGGGCTTCCCAACCAACCCATCCAACCCATCTTCCCGGAGACGAGGCTCGGAAGCCACCCTCCGCGGCATCCAGCGTGGAGTACTGCAGCGCCCCCTTGGCCTTTGCCGGCCTCAGAATTCTTCACTTCCCATCAAGTGGACGGTCCAAAAAACCAAAAAGAACCTCCTGGAGTCTCCATGACCCTTAAAACATGACCCCTTCATTTTGGGTAAGGACCCCATTTCTGAAGGGCGAAAATGGCCGCCAAACCGCTTCCGGTTGCGCTTCCGGGTTGAGCTTCCGAACAAAGCCCAGAGCTGGCGTGCCAAAACACGACTCCGGGACTCAGGACGTGAGCAGGACATTCACTTGGGCTTGTCTTTGCCCCTTCTGCTCTGGCAAATGTTCGGGGTTCGTTCCAGGGGTCTTGGTACCTTCCTGGAAACCCAGGGCCCTGACCAAGCTTGGAGCTACTTGGGCCATCAAAAGAAACGGCCAAATCCAGGGGATATCCAATGGATCAACCGAAAAAGAAAGAGAAAGCATCCGGTTCCGGGTGTCCTATAGGAACCTTAAAACTGCAGCTCCATGAAGCACCCCGATCAGAAGGCAACCGTTTTTCTCGGATTCGCCGCACTTTCCATACCCGCAAGGGAAAGGGCGTGTGAAAAACCAGAATGGTCAGAAAGGATGGGAAAGGAATCAACCCTGAGTTGCCCGAGACAAAATCGGCCCGGACCATTGTTGGAAGTGTGAAGGAACATTGCTTCACCGCTGCGCTTCGATCCGCAAAGTGCACCGACAACTCCAAAGCAACAAAAACAAGACATGGAGCCCCTACTAATCAGCCCTTCAAGGGTTTTTGCCCCGCGGAATTGCATAGGCAAACCTTCCAACCCTTGGTCTGGTAGCAAAAGACCGAACAACGAAACAAAAACAAAAAACACTTTCTTCGCAGCCCCTACTAAAAATGAACATGACCAACAAAAAGCAACAAACCAAACAGCCAAACAAAAAAACAGATTCTTCCTCGAATGCCTCAAATGATCACCACCAAAAATGATCACCACCAAAACACCTCAATATACTTCCTAAGCTGAAGAAGCAAACATGAAATCGACGTTCAAAGAGTCCATGGCCTGGCCGCGAACGCCGCGAAGGGTTCGCGGCCTCTGAGAAGGAACTGCGGAATCCCAGACTTTTGGGGGCCAAAGGGGGGCCAATGGAGGGGTTTCCTGGCGGTCTTTGAACCAAACCCCAAAAAGGGTACCCTTTAAAACAAAGCACAAAGCAAAAGAAAGTAAACCAAACAACAGAAAAACAACAGAAACACAGACACAAGAACAAAAACACACACGCATCACACACACACAACAGACAGAGCCCGCTGCAAGAGTCGATTGTTTTCACCACGCGCAATGACAAGCGATGTCTATGCCCTCACGTAAGGCGCAGTCGGAGAAGCCGAAGGTTGGAATTGGGAGTCTTGCATTGAACTTCTGGCTGACGCTCAGGCTTCGCAAGCTGCTTGGTAAATCCAGATCCTGAGCTGAGTCTAGCATGCCGAGTCGGGGCATGCGGGATTCCAAGAATTTATGTGGAAATTGTGCATGAAGGTCGAACATATTGTCTGATCATGACTCCAATTTAGTTTTAAAGTATCCCACAACCCCATCCCAACTATTCAAGCCCTAGTTCCCTTTTCGATTTTCATCTAAAGAGGGCACGAGACACCCGCAGCTCATGTTGAAGCCGGAAAACTGCGGGGAGAATAAGTTGCTGGCTGCGCTGCTCAAAAGTTTAAAGTCTGCCAACTCAAGGGGCCAAGCTTCCAAGGCTTTGGTGCGTTGCGAGACACTCAAGCTCTGCAAACCGCCGCAAACCGCTGGGAGTCACTCCCTGACTCCCACATCTATGGAGCGCCAGGTGTCGCAGCTCTGGCAAAACTCCTTGGTTGAGCTCCGAACCAAATGTCTTTGGAGGCCGTTTGGCCACATCACCCCCAAGGGCTGGTCGAAACTGCCGAACGGAAGTCTCTGCAGGCCGGCGGGAAAAGTGACGCCTTGCAAGTCGTGGTCAAACCAAGTTCCGAAGGACAAACTTTCTGCCTGCCCTCTGGCAAAACCACCTCCTGAAGCATCTTTTGCCGAAAGGTGAGGCTGCTCAGACTCGCTGGCAAAGTCACTCCCTTCCAGCCTTGGTCAACGTTCAACTTTATAGATTATTTCTACCACTCACTTCCGATCGAGTGGATCGGCCAACATAGCCCTATGCTTCCTCAAGTCCTCGACTATTCTTCAAATAGCCTCGACCATTTAAAAAGCGAAAGGCTACAAAAGTAATGTCCCTCGACCATTAAAAGTAGGTCTAGGTCTAAAAAAGTTGGCAAAAGCGCACTACTGGAAAAACCTAGTAAGGAACCACACTCCTAGGGTTCAACAGGGATCCTTACATTATACACCTGAACATTGCCTTGTAAATGGCGGTTTCCCCTGATTTTGGTGTTGAAAAAGCAACATGTTTCAAATGGTTGCAAAATGGAGATTTCTTTTAAGGAGCCCTGTTCAACCACTAACACAATGGATAAGTCATGGTGCTATCAGCCCCCTGTTGCTCTCATGGATTTGAAACCCCAGAGCCCAGGCTCCGCGTCTTTTCGCGAGACATCTCTCAATCGCAGCGAATGGTTCCGTCGCCCGAGATCCTGGACAGCGCACCGGCGAGCTCCACGAAGTTGAGGTTCCTGAGTTCGGGTGCTGCGACAAAGTGAAACCCAGAGGAAACATGTAGAGAGATTCTTTGCGGAGAGCATGGGGTGTCCTGTTGGGAAAAATGGATGATGGAGTATGAAACAGCCACGTGAACTTGGGGAAGGCTATCTGGATATACTTCAGTGTAGGCAATAGAGCAGGTCTCGGAAAGGATGTTCATCTGTGGTGACAAAGAAATTGGAGCGAATCAATAACAAAGGCCACACAAACACACGTTACTAAGCAAAAGATCACCCTCGATCCTGGAAGGTTACCTGAATTGTCCACAAGACAGTACAGCATGTCCCAAACAACTGGGTGTTGTGTGTTGCTGTGCTATACATACATCACAGTACAAGATCAACAGTAGTTATAAAAGTTTGGAAATTACACCTTCAAAGTTAGATACAGTTTGTTGAGGAGAAAGTACGAACAACATAAGTTACATACGCTTCCATGAGTTGGCAAGCTTTTGCCAATGTCACAAATCCAACACTAAGCTCGAGTCCAACACCTGCATGGCTGGGAAGCGCCAAGTTTCCCAGCATAGCGCGGGCTGATTGTCAGGCTCTGCAAGCTGCTCGGCAGGGTCACGCCCTCCAGGTTTTTGCGAGCAAAGCACCCAAGCGTCAAGCTCCGCAGGCTGGGCAAAGTCACTCCCTGCAGGTTTTGGGCGAATCTATGGCCGAGTGTCAGACTCTGCAGGCTGGGCAAAGTCACTCCCTGCAGGCTCCGGTTGAATCGATCGCCAACAGTCAGACTCTGCAGGCCGGCAGGCCATGCCACGCCCTCGAGTATGTCATTGAACCGGTTGCCCAAAGTCAGGTGCTGCAGGCCGGACGGTAAGGTCAAGCCGCGTAATCTCATGAAGAGCCGGCCGAAGGTCAGGCTTTCTAGCGTGTCCGGCAACGTCACTCCGGTCAGACTTCTCTGAAAGCCTGGAGCTGACTGGATAGAAACAAATTCAAACTTTTGGGCCCTGAACTGAAACGAGGAAACCTGCAACTGGGATTGCTGGATGCCCCAACAAAAGTTGCAACTGAACGGTGGTTTCCATGGAAATTCCTGGTTTCACAAAGGGCACGGAGGAACCTCCGCGGCTGAACAGCTTGAACACTGAACTCCAAAAAGAAGTGCTTGCGGCTCACGTGAAATGAGCAAAGACAATACCCCCCCCCCAGCCCCTCCCCTCCAACTGAAGAGGCAATCTAGGGTTGAAAAGTGCTACAAGAGAGCTAGACTAGGTCCTCCAGTAGAGAGGTTGGAATAAGGGTACACTTTGTTGTGTAGTTTATTGAACCCTCCCAACCAAAAAAGGGGTCAGAAAGGGCACTACTGGGGGACCTGGTTGATCGAAAGAATTGGGGGACTCTGAAGCTGAAGGTATCAACTAGAAATGCCCCCATCCAGGGTGGTCCTTTTTTTGGGGATCCCCTTCCGCTTGATTCCCCACCGAGAACCAGCTTTTGGTTTTGGTGTTCCGCTTGAGCTCCTGAGCCCAGTGGTCTCAATCTCCAAAGTCTCACCTTTTCCCGGGCTCCTCCCCCCGTCTATTTCTGCCGATTTTAGCAGGGGAGCCCTCCCAAGAAAAGCTACAAGAGGGCGCTTGTCATAAAAACGGGCAGGTGTCAACTAGAGAAGGGCCCCCTCTGCCCAGTCAGAGAAGCAGGTGCCGAACGTCAAAGCCCTCAAGCCGCTGGGAAAGGCCAGGTGCAGGTCTTGGTTGAAGTCAGCGCCGAAGGCCAAGCTTTCCAGATCTCTGGGGAGCGTCACTCCTTTTCATCCGGAGAAAAACGGAAACCAAAAAGAAAAAACGGCTGGAACTAGAACCCCGGCAACAAAATCTATTTGTTGCCTGGCTAGTGGAAAACAAAGGGAACCCCCAAAAAGCAACGAAGCAAAAAGGGGAACGAATTCTGGGGAAGAGCACATGTGTGTGTGTGTGCGCGCGAAAACGCGTGGGCAAAAAAAGGACACGTACAAAGGAAGACGCGGAAAAGGACATTTTTAGATTCTGGTTCATGTTTAGTGGACCTTAAAACGTGAAATTGTTTGGGGGGAAGACCCCAGATTTAGGGGTGCAATGCCATACTCCTCTGGCAGTTGGGTTTTCTCTTCAAGTTTCAGTTTAAGGGGAACTGTCTTTTGTAACACCCTAAAATGAACATCACCAAATTACCTCGAACAAAATGAGCGTGGCGAAGCTCGACTGCAACCCCACTGGCGCCAGATCAAGTCGTGCGAAACGGCTGCGAGTTTCACTGACCAAAGACCGAGCTGTCGGAACAACTAAGAAAACTAAAGCACATGCCAACAGTGGCTTGATTGCTGCAACGACCCCCCTGCAAAAAGTTCAATGTTTTGGGGGGGTTAGTGGAAAACACCTTTATTCCCCAAAAGTTAAAGTCCAAAGATCCAACCCAATAGCAGTCAAGAGTGAAGGGCTTGAAACGCCACCGGCAGCCAAGACTCCTTGCAAGCCTTGGTCAAACCGGTCGCCGAAAGTCAGGCTGCGCACAGAGGCAGGCAAGCACACATCCTTCAAGCTCTGGTTGAATTCTTCGCCAAAAGTTAGGCTCTGCAAATCTGGGAAGGTCACTCCGTCCAAACCTTGGTTGAAGAGTTTGCCAAACGTCAGGCTCTGCAGGCTGTCTGGGAGGCTCGCACCCTGCAAGGGCTGATTGTATGATTCCCCAAACGTCAGGCTCTGCAGGCCGGATGGCAGCGTAACTCCCTGCAACGGCTGGTTGAAACGGCTGCAAAACGCCAGGCTCCGCAACTTGGCTGGCCAAACCACTCCCCGCAAGCTCTGTCGGCTCATTCCGCCAAAAGTGAGGCTCTGCAAGCCGGAAGGAAGTTCAACCTCAAAGTCATCTCTCTGGCGGTGGAATGGCTGGTTGAAGTGATTGCCCAAAGTCAGGCTGTGCAGGCTGCTGGGCAAAGTCACTCCTTGCAGGCTCCGGTTGAATGCGTTGCCAAATGTCAAGATTTGCAGGCTGCCCGGCAAAGCAACTCCCTGCATTATTTGGTTGAATGCGTTGCCAAATGTCAAGCTTTGCAGGCTACTCGGCAAAACCACTCCCTGCAAACTGCGGTTGAATCGCACGCCGAAAGTCAGGCTCTGCAAACTGGCCGGCAGAGTAACTCCCTGCAAAGCTTGGTTAAACTGCCGACCAAATATGAGGCTTTCTAAGCTGGCTGGCAATATAACTCCATGCATGGGTTGGTTGAAGTCTCGGCCAAAATTCAAGCTTCGCAAGCGGGTTGGTAGCGTGACATCCTGCATGGGTTGGTCAAACTTGCTGCCAAACGTCAGGCTCTGCAAGTTGCCCGGAAGCAGCACTCCCTGCATGCTGCGATTGAAACGGAACCCCAAGTTCAGCCTCTCCAGGCCGTCGGGAAGAGTCGTTCCCAAGTTCTGGTTAAATCCTTGGTGGCTGCAACGACCCCCCTGCAAAAATGTGCTGTTTTTGTTTCTACTTCAAAAAAAACAGAAACACTTTTTGGGGGTTTAGTAGAAAACACCGCCAATATTTCCCCAAAAGTTGAAGTCTAAAGATCCAACCCAATAGCAGTCAAGAATCCAAGACCAAAGCACAGGCTGCGCAGAGTCCTGCGTGTGTGGGCTGGCAGGCCCGCCGGTTTCAGCCAGAGGAAGAAACGCCAAATCTCCGTTCGGTTTCCCGAAACCAGTGGCTGATGCTGGGCTTGCCATACTTCCATTTGCGGATAGGCCCCCTGGTGATAGCTTCCCTTTGAAACGAACAGAGAAAATATCACATATTTTTAAGCAAATGGATGTTACAATACTCACAAGGGGGAACGGCAAACCGCTCGTATGGGACCTTGGGTTTTCACTCGGTCCCTGGCCATAGTTCGGATGGTTTTCAATGGAAATCAGGCCATGGGTCAAAAGCCAAATCGTACCCCCAGTGAACATCAACCAATCCCCACTAAATAAGTTCTAAAATGGGTGGTGAATTCACCTACCAACACAAATGGGATCCCAAAACGGTTTTGACAACCACAGCCATGTTTTGTCTTTGAGGCAAACCCATTTGGACAGGCCATTTCAACCAAGGCTATCTCAAACCCAAACTCCAACTCCCAACGCGAAACGATGTTGTCAGCACCCAAATCACAACTGCCTTTTGGTGAGACCGTGGGATTTGGGCAAATCGGGGGAATAAACAACCAGCTATTGGGAAAAAAACAAAAAAACAATAAACAAAACACAATCAAGAAAACACAACAAAAAACAAACAGCTCTTGGCTGGAAGAAACTTCGCCCCGGGCCTAGGGACATGGACCCCTCCCACCTAGCTGAACAAAAGTCCCAAGCTTCGACACTCAGCACACGCACCTTGCCATGAGAGTGGCACGTCTTTCCCGAGATCTCTGATACAAGCCCCAGGTTTTGTGATACAGCCCCCAGGTTTTTCCAGAAACTTGAATTGCCCGAGTCCGCAGAAAGAAGCAAATGAGACCTGATTTTCCCCAATGCGGGTTGGCACCACTTTTCGTGGGGTTTAGGGGGTGCCCTTCTCTAGATCGGGCCCGGTTGGGGGTGCAGCGGCTTTGCACAGAGATGTTCCTTTGGGGTTGCAAGCCAACTAATCACGCGCCTCTCATTTTCCCTTTCCTCGCTCGAGTAGATTGGCCCAAAAGTAACCAAGCTTGTTACTTACATGGTCTAGGCCCAAACAGTGGCAAAAGTCCAGAAGCTCAGGAAGTGAGTTTCTTTGGTAAAGCGCCTTTGAAGTTTCGCACCGATTCGCTCCTGGGCAAAGGTGTGAGTTGAGCCTTACCGGAGTTGGGCCATTCCAGGTGTGTGACGCCCTCCAGGTTCTGCAGATTCCGGTCATGGCCTTTCAGAACATTCCTTGGCCCGTGCACCCATGGCTGGGATCAACTGGGCATGTTTCGGGCAAAGAAAGGATAAGGAATAGGTGTGGTCAAAATTATTTGAACAGAAGTCATGTGAATTCCTGAGTTCGAAAAGTGATTACTCTGGAGGCCAGTACTTGTCATGGGGTGGTTGGGGCGATTCTGCTTTGGGTGGTACGCCCAAAAGGTGAGTTCAATGGTCAAAGGGGTAAATGGCCAGAATCAAACAGCGGCCAAGATGCTAGAGCATTACTCTAGTCCCGCCGGAATTTCACATGTTTTACCCCAGAATCGGTGAACGCATGCAAAAACAGCCCAGGTTCCATGCTTTCAGCAGGCAGGTGTGAGTGTAGGTGAACATGCCAGCAGAGCCTGTCTGCAGTCCCTGCTCCCGCAACGTTCGGTGTGGCATGAGCTCGACATTGCCTGAACGTCCGAGTTGACTGGAGAGTAACGGGGCTAACTCTTTTTGGCCCTGCAATAAAAATAATGAAGACACTTGGCAACGAACACTTGGCGGTTCATTGATTCCTTGCCAAGCGTTATTGCAGCGTTGCCGTTACAAGTTAGCGGACCATGTGTGTAGACCCTATTTGGGGGTTGGTGCAAAGGGAAACCAACGGGAAACCACGCGTTTTGGGGAGTCACCCGATTTTGACCCACACACACATCATGAATTCAATGAATTCTCTTCTTAAGTAACTCAAAAAGGGGAACGAAAGTCTCCGGAGATGGCTTGGGACTGCCACAGTGACCTACCCCTTTTTTTGCGCAAGGCAGTTATGTGTAAGGGGTTGGGTCAAAATTAGGGGACCCCAAAATTGCTTTTGGATGTCCTTTAGAGGCAACCAAGAAGAGGCCTCCCAAACAGAGACACAGCCGTAACAGGGAAACAACCCAAGACAAGTCCAGACTTTGTGTGCAGAATGTTCTCCAACCCGAAAAGTATTTTGAGTCCAGGAATTCAGCTGAGCTCCTTTCAGGATATATCAAAGAAGCCCACGTCCTGCCAATCCAGAACTCCAGACTCAGCAAGCAGATAAAACTCATCTGGTCCAAATGTAGTATCTATTCCATATATATATATATAGGAAAAAATGGCACTCCCCGCCATGGATCCACCTTTTTTCGGGCTTTGGGACAAGCAGCAAAAAAGGCGCAGGTCCAAAAACCATCTGGAAGTTTCAATCTGAATCCAGGGAGTCGAATGAATCCATGCCCGAATGAATGAATTCAGTGTTTGGATGTACCTCTGTCCATTTTCTCAGAGAAAACAACGCTATTGGAGCCGGAGCCACTGGAGATGACAAGCTTCAGGACGGTTGAACTAGTTCACGGTCACTTCTTTGCTGCTTCACACGTTCTGTACCTCTTCGTTCTTTGGGGTCTTGTTTCTTACGTTGGTTTCGCTTCAGAACTTTACTTGACTTTTACTTCTGGGCCGTTGGCTCCTTTTGGTTTACTTTGTGGCGTTTGCACTTGGCCAGCGGCTCCAATATAGCTATTCTTGCATCTTCTGAAACCTCAAATGAGAAATAGGACAGGTTCAGGGTGGGTTTAGGGATTTGATGAACTCACGTCGATAGAATCGGATTTCTTGTAGATTGCTTCTTTGTAACAAGAAAATACAGTTCATTGGGAGCTAACAGATTTTGTTCAGATAAACTCACTGAGTTTGTGTTTTCTTGGTTTTGTTTGCAATCAATCATGGTTCGATAAGGGTGTAAAATAAATATCATTTAGCATATGTCTCTCAGTTCAGAATTGAAAGAGGACTTTATTTTCAATGACTATGCTTAATTGAGATGTATTTCAAACTCGATCTTGAAGGGGGGGCCAAGTGTGCTTCGATTTTCTATCTAGAATCTGCATGAAATTTCATGAGGAGCTAATTCCAGTAGAGTTTCTACTTTAAAAAATAACAACAAAGAGTCTGCCCTTTTCAAAAAGATTTGTACTTAAAAGCGACATTTGAGCTTAAACAGTTGTCTTGTGTAAATATATATACACATATATTTGTCTGAATATACATATGTATATATATATATATAGATATAAATAAATATATATAAATATACACACAATAATTCTTGCGGTTCGTTCTAGTTTCAAAGATGCGATTACAAATTAGATTGTAAAAAATGTCTATTTTCCATGCTTTCTATATATAACTTAAATAGAAACTGAATGTGAACAAAACTTTGTACAATTTTTAGATTTAACGATGATCTAAATAGGATGTCCTTTTCAACGAAGAGCTTTAATCAGGAAGTTTACTTTAAATTAGAATCTAAGAAGTAAAGCCTATTCTTAGGCTGCCTTTGTCCATTTTTTAGTTGTAGAACTTCTAACTTTAAGATGAATCAAAATAGGAGCTCTCTTTTTTGCCTTTGCGATAGCGCACAGTGTCGTGTCTGTTTGACGCAGCGATTTTTTTGGGGGGGAGGGAAATAAGGAGAAGGCCCCAAAAACAAACAAGTCAGTGTGTCAAACGAAGTCCTGTTCAACTAAAGCTTTTGGATTGAATATTTCAGTTTAGACTTGGAGTACTTCCTTGCTTAGGATGAGCTGACGCTAGTCAAGTTGCGCTGGGGCAATCCAAGTAGAACAACTGCATTCCATCTCCAGAAAAGCCTTCAAACAGCAACAAGGTAGATCCATCGGGGGTTGCGTATATGAATAATAAATATATATATATATATACATATATTTATATACATATAACTAAATTCATACATATCTACATATCCATATATCTATATCTCGACAATACATATATATATATGTACAATATGTATCCCTCAGGGAGTGAGGTAACACAGTGCGGTCCTTTTGACGCTCTTTTATTTTAAAGACAAGTCCGGCCCTTGAGAAAAGCTGCACGTGGCCAGACAGCTTTCCAACAAAGCGGTCTACACAGGACTAGCTTGAGAAAAATATTTCCTATTGACCCTTGATTACATTCCGCACCTAAACAGAGGTGGAACCTAAAACAAAGGATTCCAATGAGGGGAGGGTTATCTCACTTAAGGCCGGAGCTTTGTTGGCCACCATGGTCCAAACCCAAAAAGGTGTCCGAGTCCGAGTTCCGGAACTCAGGATGTGAGTCCAAAAAAAGCAGGACGTGCTTTAAAGCGATTTAGGCCGATACAGTCACAGTCAAATGTCAGCAGATGCGGGCATCTGCTAAATGCTCAAAACTGGGGTGCCTGAAAAGGGGGGGAGGTACTATATATATATATATACACTACACATACATGCATATATACATATATGCATATACATGTTTATGCAAAAAGGGCCCCTTCCTGTTTTCAATTAAAGGGTTGACGAACCTCCAGGCCTGCAAGGCCGGCCTCTGGGAGCCGCCAAGGCAAAAATCCATCGAAGTCGACTTGAGTCACTTGCTCAAAACCCGGTCAAAATGGTCTACCCAGAACCATGCTTCAAGAAATAAGCAGGCGGATATCTGCAGCTACCTGAAAGATCCTTTGAGTCTAAAAATAGCCTCGGATGCGATTTAGACTCCTACAAGAATTTAGACTCAAAATGAGTCTAAATAAGGCGAGGCTAAATTTATGTTGAAACATTATTTAGCCTCAAAGAAGCTTCAATTTAGTCTCAATTTTATGTCAATTGTCCATAGATTTTTGCTTGGAACCAACACTGCCAACTATTCGTTACTGCAAGGGAGTCCGCACAAGCGCGCGCAAAAATGGTATGAACGTGAGCCCTAGTGTTTGTCCACCAACAGCAACTCAGCACCCTACTCAAAGGACAATTGCGCCGCGGCCCAAGATGGAGCTGTGCAAAAACCACAGGCAAGGGTATATTGTGGTGCAAATTGTGTTGGCTTGGGCGGTAAGTACAAGAGGGAAGCTTCGCAAAACCCACGGGCGGCCGGCAGCACAAGCGTTGGAAATGCTGGGCATGCCCACAATACAAGTCCACATTTGCTATATGATCTGCGCACAATGCAAGTGGGAAGCAAACAGGTGTCTCACACGTGGGCCGCCCACAGTTCCAAAATGGCACGTGATGCAACCCTATAAACGCCGGCTCCGCACAGTACAAGCGTCCGGCGCATTTCTTTTTATATACATGAGTGGCCGGTCGTACAAGCGGCGGTGGCTGTGCCACTGCGCAACGCATACAATTCTGTGTACAGCTCCGCGCAGTACAAAAAAGGAAAAGTAGAGCTCACACAGTGTACATGCGGTGGGGGAGCTTATATAGCGACTCCGCAGCAGAAGTGCTGCGACGTGCACAAGCGGCAACATACAAGGCTTTCCACGGTATACAATTGTGAGTGTGGGCAGGTGCAACTGGCAGCCCAAAACTGTGAAGGCGCAGAGGACAAATGCAACACGAGCAGAAAGCCTTCAATTTTGCAGCTGCAGCAGGTTTTACAAAAAAAGGCAGACTGGCCATCCTGTACCTTTTAGCGGCCTTCAAGGCGACGCGGCCCGTCAGCACCAAACCACATATAGTGGCAAGCCAGCCCGTACTTTTCCGCCGCCTACAAGGTGGCAGATACGTCCGTCCGGCCGCTCACACAGCTGCTAATCAAGGTGGAAATGCGGCCCATGAGGTCCTCAACTCGCCAGCACCAGGCCAAATGGGGATGAAGTTTGTCAGCCCATAGCGCGCTGTGAAGGCAATAGTGCAGCTTTGCTGACATATTGAACACCCGGACCTCCTGTGCAGCATAGGATTCTGAGAGCTGCACGTACAGCTGACCTAGTAGTCGTTGTTTGCGCACCAACTCTGCTGCATTCGGGGGCGGCAGTGCCCAGTACCCGTCGGCAGGCGAATGCGAGTCCTCATCGCATTGCAGGCTGAGTTCCAGCAAAAGCTTGATACGGATACCGTCCCGGGTGTGCAAGTCCCCATAGCGCTTCCACATCGCTATCATTGCGTCTCCCAATCCCCGAATTTGACCGGCTTTGCCGCGAAGCTTGGAAAGTCTCGCTTCTTCACAAACATTGTCAGTTTGCGCAGCGTCCTGGCAGGGTAGCGCTCGCCATGTTGTGGGCGGTGGCGGTTCTGGAAGCTCATGATGAAGTTGGCGAGGGTCCTGAGGTTTTGCAATGGCTCGGCTGCCATGTGAACGAAACAGAGAAGCCAGAAGACGAACCAACTCCGGGATCCGCCTACCCTCCGCAAACTCCGGCGTCATTTTCGACCAGAGCTTCTTCACCTCCTTGGACTGGTCCTCATCGAACTCGACGGCCTGCCCCTCAATCGCTGCGGCTCAGATTGAGCGTGAAAGAAAGATTTCTAAGCAGAGCAACGAATTCGTTGCTCTGCTTAGAAATCTTTCTTTCACGCTCAATCTGAGCCGCAGCGTAGTACTCTTTGCCGCCCTCCTGAAGCTTCACCACCTCGCCCGAAACCACCATGGCCTGCAGG